GGCAGGAGAGTATGGAGGGATGGACACTGGGAAGAGGTAACTATGGGGAGGAAGTGGGAGGGGAGCTGTTGCATTGTGGTAAACTGTGGTCAGTGACATGAGACAAAGTATATGTGAACTGCTGTATGGAAAGTGAGTTTGCTCTGTAAATCTTCACCCAAATCAAAATAAAAAAATAAATAAACCAGGGCTTTGAACCAGTTCAGCCTGGTTCAGTCACAGCTAACAAAGCAACAACAGAACAGGCCCAAATTTTTTAAATGTGAATAAACTGAAACACTAACTGGAACAGGAAAAATTACAGATCAGAAGCCTGCTAGAAACTTAATCTCCCTTTTAGAAAGCAAGGGCAGTGGGAGCATTGCATAGCAACCAAATCTCTTGACAAACTGAGTCGAAAACAAGAGCGCCCCCCTCAAATATGGCAGCAAACTGTACCACTTTGAATGTGTGTCACTCTTCACAGACCTGACAATAATCCAATGTCACATATCAGGTTCCTGAAAGCTCACTGAGCCTCTTCTGAGTCTCTCATTCCAGGGCCTCAGTTCATAATTTTCCTCATTCCAGTTAGTGCTCCAGATCACCCAAATTTTAAAATTTCAGGTCTGTTTCAGTTTTGCTTCATCAGCCATGAATTAGCTGGATCAAACCAGTTCGAAGCCCTGTAAGAAACCTTTTTAAAAGCTTGTGCCTTTTGACTAAGTAGTGGCAGAGACCCATATATAAATATAATTGCAGCATGATTTAAATGGAGAGGAAAAAAAGTACAACTTAAATGTCCAACAATAGAGTAATCATTAAATATATTGTTTTATCAAAAAATTATACAGCTAATAAAAGTGTTTATAAAACCATTAATAACAATAGCTTACACACATTCTTAGTGTTTAATATCAGGAAATTTAAAAAACACACACACATACCAGGATTTTAACAGACAGAATGGGAATGTGACAGAAATTTAAGGAACTGTAACTATGGATTATTTCAGTCTCTATATTTTAAAAAATTTGCCATAGTGGGCGTACTTATATATTTCAAAAGCAATGGTATGCTGGTAAATGTTTAACAGAACTGTCAGTCACAGGACTGAGAAGTGTTTGCAGATTCCCATGATGTAAATATTCTCAATATGGCCAATTTTTAGCTACCAATGGTTTTAGCAAGCAGCTTGCACAATTCCAGAAATCAGCACATCACTGAGTCACAAAAAACACACAACATATATAAATTATTGTGCTAATTAGGATCACAAATGCCCAAAAAGATTAGCCAGGAAAAAAAAAAAGATGATGTTATAGTATCATTTTTTAAAAAGGTTTCATTACATGAAGGAAGAAACAAAAGATGAAAAATAACAGCTATATAGATGATGTAAGTATACTGCACAAAGTTTAGGGAATTAGTAGGAATACCAAAATGTTACTTTATTGAAAAGAAAAAAGAATAAAAACTAAACAGGCAACTCCTAATGTTTACTGGGTCACCTATTTACAAATTCATTCATTCAGCCATAATATATTTATTGAGGGCCTACTATGCCTACTAATCCAGTTTCTTGGGATACAGCTATAAATAAAGTTCCTGCCCCCATGGAGCTTACATTCTATTGCAAGTATCCATAACATTTTCTCCTAATGAATAACTGGTATAGAATTTTCCTGAAACCTTAATGTTCAAACATGTAAAACTGACATGAACGAGAAACAAGGTTACTACATACCATCTGTTCAATTTTAGAGAAAAACATGGAGAAGTTCGTTTTTAGGAAACAATGGAGGCATAATGGAAGAGAAGTGGGGAAAAAATAAGACAAGATGCCCCACTACCTCCATGCACACATGCATCCTTCCCTCCCTCCTGGGAAGCTGGTGCAACACTCCAATCTTACTAACCATGTGATTTTTGCTTCTGTCTTATGGGCCAGCCAGGTTACTGTCCATAAAATTAACCAACAGTTTGGGATTTATAGGTTAGGGACCACCACCTTAATATATTCTCTTACTTTTGCAGGAGAACGCTGTTTCCTCTTCTTCTTTTTCTGTAAGTCTACTGGCTCTCTGATTTGTTTTTTGTCTCTCATCAGTTGCTCAGATACATCAGTAAAAGTAATTTCCTGCTTTACACTTATCTGTTAAAAAAAAAAAAAAAGCCAATTTTAGAAATGAATAAAAAGTCCACTATGACAAAAGTCATTGCATGTTTTAATCCTTTGCTAAAACCTATATGAATGACTCTCTGTATATGCCAACTGAACTGTGTAAAAAGAATTCACTAATAGGCAAATGAGAAGTAAGGAATCAAGAGTACATAAAGTGAAGATTAAGATTTCAAAAAAAAAACCTACCGGGAAAAAAGATAAAAGATGTCCTGGGAAAAGATGACAGTAAGAGCTAGCAAAATAAAGTAGAAGGCAGAACACAGTAGTATCAATTTCACTCCCACACTTAAGGAAACTAATACTTAAGGTAAAGGTATCAAAAAAAAAAAAGGTTAAGTTCCTAATATAAACAAAATACTGGAGGTTAAAAGGGGTATCTAGAAATCTCGATGGAATCTCTCCCTCAATTTATAAAATATCAAGGAAACAATACATTCTCAACAACAAAGACAGAACAAAAAAAGAAAAACAAAATTCCAAATGATCATATCAAATGAATGACAAGACGAACTAACTGAAATTTTAGTTATCTTTATGCTCAACACATCTGACAAGATCTTAGCCAGTATTTTCCTGGCCTTCTATGACAAAACATCTATGTTTATAGAATTGCATGTGGATCATTTTAGGCCACTACTTTATACAAGACATAATGCTAACTAGGAAAATACTGTAAGAAACAGTAAAATTTCATCAGTGTTATGTTATCTTTAGATCTTGGTTCTCAGATATGAAAAAGTTGGTTACCCTAAAAAACTGATTCACCAAGGGTACCACTAATGGTAACTTGAATTCTCATCAGATTTGATGGTGCTCTGTCATCCACTCCTTACTGCTACAAGTTCAATCTATCCTTGAAACAAAACCACAAGCATCTTAAAACTAAAAAGCTTACAGCTCAAAAGGCTATGAAATACATTAAAAATCCTTGTGAATAATCATGGAAGTACAATGTACTAATGGTCACAAAAGATACATTTAGAACATACAGAAGATTATGAGCAGTTCACAGATTCTTAGTGTAAAGTTGGAAGCCACATGTGTAGAAGAGATCCATGGAGAAATGCAACATAAATTTGGGGTTTTAGATTGGCCAAATAAGAAACTGAAAACTTTCACAAGTTCCTGAAATGTTGGCAGCATACATACTGTCCTATAATTGATTAAGTGATAAAGAGAATCACAGATCAAGGAGAACTTTGGCACAAAAATATAAATGACATTTGGCTAATAACTCTTTCTATCATGTTATAAAACAGTACTAGTCCCATCCTTATGAATTCTTTCAGTGTCATTTATGTAGAACATAACATAGTATGATCAAATCACTGCCAACAGGGCTTTCGAATACACATCTTACCATCTGAGGTGACATTTATCGAAGCACAACTACTTGGGCTGGGTATGAGACAAAGATAGATGGTAACACACTATCTAAGCAAGTATGTTTTACTTTGTAGGATTACCAAAAAGTACTTTACAGATTTCGGTCAGCTTATAAATTGGAAGGAAATCATACCAAGTGTAGCAAGCAAAAGTGTCAAAGTAGAATGTGGGCCAGATTCACAAATAAGGCTTTATGTAGAGACACTGTTATTGCTGTTGTTGTTATGTGCCGTCGAGTCAGACCCGACTCATAGCGACACCTCCTTGAGTTTCCGGGGCAGTATCACTACGGAAGTAGATTGCCCCATCTTCTTTCCGAGGAGTGGCTGGTGGGTTTGAACCGCCAGCCTTCTGGTAAGCAGTCAAGTGCCTTAGGCACTATGCTACCAGAGCTCCTGCAGAGATATTAAAAAACATTACATATCAGACATATACATATGTCTGAACCTTTTAGTTATTTTCACATACATGGAAAGTGATATCAGTACTGTTATTTTCAAATAGCAGCCATATAATGAAAGCACAGACCCAAATGAGAAGCAGAAAAATACTGTAATATTAAAGCATAATCAATGTCTGTAGACAATCAAACTACACTTTAGAATGCTCCAAGAGGTTTATCACTCATAAGTGAGATAAAGTAATCTCCTCGCTATATAACTGATAACCATATACTAAAGCATATAGTGCAGTATGCAGTGCTTAGAAAGGATGCTGGTAAATTTTAAAACATAAAAATAGGTACGATAGTGTTAAGACAGCTAGAGAGAACGGATTGCAAAAAAGTCTGGAAAAAACATAAGATTTCTTTGGCCCAAGGAAGACTATAAACAAACAAACAAACAAAAAACCCACCCAAACCCACTGCCTTCAAGTCAAATTCCAACTCAAAGAGACCTTATAGGACAGATTCAAACTGACCCAAAGAGTTTCAAAGGTTATACATCATTATGGAAGCAGACGGCTACATTATTCATGAACAGAGAAGCTTGCAATCTCCTACCTTTCAGTTAGCAGCCAAGCGTTCAACCAGTGCACCACCAAGGCTCCTAAGGAAGACTATGCAATAGTCTATAAAACCATGAAAACTTCTTAAACACGGCAAGAGATGATGTATTAATTCATCTATAAGTTGTCTACCCTTTCCTTCAATGATTGTATACTCTATCTTTTCCTTTCAAAGAAAAACACTAATTCTGTTCTCAGTATTACTTTTCACCTAAAATAAACCAAAGTGTAATTAATCAAAGCAGGCATCAGGCAGAGCTGTGGTGTTTGAAAAAAAATGATTTGCTGGCTTTTTTGAAACATATTCTATTAAAGCATCAAGAAAAATCTTTAAAACATCAGATTTTTAAAAAACACTAACAAAACCTTCAGTGTCTTCCCATCATTGGAGCTATACCATTTCAACTAGTGCACTACCACCCTTCTGCCTACATTTTATTACTTAAGAGACTAAATTTCAATGCTGCTCTTGCTACCAGCCCAGAATACCATCACCATCACCCTACACACTCTCCTTCTATCAGATTTGACTAAACTCAGATACTTCTCCTAAAACTCTAAGACTACTTACTTTGCTCATTCACCTATCTATTCTTCCTCTAGCCTCTTACTTTGACACTACAGAAGCACCAGGCATGACTCTCTCATTTCATATCTACTTTCTGTATTCGCCTATACTTCCTGTCCAACATCCTCAGAAAAAGCAGAGTCCTATAGTGTCAGGTTTCCCTGCCCTTTACCATTACCCAAGCAAAGTCTTTCTTGCTAGCTCTAAAATATCTCTCTTAATTTATCCTTATTTTTTCTCATTTTCAATCTCTCCCTCTTCATTCTCCTGACCTTCAACACACTGAGGAGTCAATTCCTCTTCACAGTGACCCTACAGGACAGAGGAGAACAGTCCACAGGGTTTCTAAGGCTGCCACATCTTGTCCTGTGAAGCAGCTCATGTGTTAGAGCTGCTGACCTTTCCGTCAGCAGCCAAGTGTTTCACCACTACTCCACCAGAGCTCCTCTAAGCATAAATAAACTCTAACCCACTGCCACTGAGTCAATTCCTACTCATAGCAACCCTACCGGACAGGCTAGTACTGCCACAAAGGGTTTCCAAGGATATAAATCTTTATGGAGGCAGACTGCCTTCATAATTCTCCTGCAGACTGGCTGGTGAGTTTGAACCAATGACCTTTTGGTTAGCAGCCAAGTGCTTCAACCACAGCACCATCAGAGCTCCTCTAAACATAAACAGGCCTCTCTGTATTGAAAAAAGGAGCCCTGGTGGTACAGTGGTAAAAACATTATTCAGCTGCTAACCAAAAGGTCAGCACCCACCAGCTATTCCACAGGAGAAAGAGACAGTCTGCTTCCATAAAGATTTACAGCCTTGGAAACCTATGGGGCAGCTCTACAGGGTCTGTCCTTTAGGGTCTCCATGAGTTAGAACTGACTCGATGGCAGCAGGTTTGTTTTGGCTTTATATTGGAAAAGAGCCTTCCCTAGATTCTAATTACTAACTCTAGCCCAGGATGCATAATAACTTATAGACTTATTTACTTTCTGACCCAGTATTAAACAAACTGTCTTACTTCAATATTTTAACTATTTTATGCCCCCATATCTTATCTTGATATATTAAAATAAGATACACTCCCTTTGGTTATATTTCCTTAATAGCTTTCACTCATTTATTTACTCATCAGCTCCTAAGTGCCTCCTATTTTGTTATAAGTAATACAACAAAATATCTACTGAGATCCTATATGTGCAGAGTACCATTCTAAAGACACATTCTAGAAATTGAGGTTCGCTTTTCAAAAGTCTTAAAATCTAAATGGAGAGTTATGATGCATTACAACAACAACAAAAAACCCTAGTAATTCAAGACAGAACATGTCAAGCTATAATGAAATGAATGGTACAGGCCCTAAGGACAGGAATTCAAAAGAAGCAATAAGTAAGTTGAAATAACTGTAAAAGGCTTCATAGATAGAACAAAAGACTTAATCAGAGCTGCAAGTTTATCATCTATACATATACATACACACACACATGTATATATAACCTCTTAACTTTTTTCCAAAAACTGCTATACTTCCCAATTTCTTTCTTCCAGAGTCAGTATGTTAATGTAACAACTGTAAAATATCTAAAATAATGTCATCAGATATAGTATGTGATAAATAAATTACTTTATTTATAAATATGCAAATATTAATTCCCAATGTCCTACATCCATACCCAATGGCATCCATTTCCATTTCATTCCAACCAACCTTACCCATCTTGCTGACTTAGGGCATTATCACCTCCCAATGTATTCTTCCACAATTAAGTTATTATTAAACTGTTTTCATGTCACTTCCCCAGCCAGGAATATGTAATAGCTCTTTGTTGGCAATGTCATCAATTATAAACTCTCTAACTCAGCTTTTAAAATTCTATAGGATCTACTTTACAGGAAAGATCTAGGTCACCTGGCCTAAGTATCCAGCCTTACCATCGCTCCTCCCCATTTCAAACTTTTCTGGAGACTATCTGTTTTTATTTTCAATTTTTAATATTCTCATCCCTCCACT